TAACCTTCTGTTTTACGTCACCGTTAAAACGCAGGTATCCTCTTGTTTTACGTCCCGTTAAAATTCAGGTAACCTTCTGTTTTACGTCACCGTTAAAACGCAGGTATCCTCTTGTTTTACGTCCCGTTAAAATTCAGGTAACCTTCTGTTTTACGTCACCGTTCAAGTACAGGTATCAATCTGTTTTACGTCATCGTTAAAATACAGGTATCCTCTTGTTTTACGTCACCGTTAAACTTATAATTATTTATCAATCACTGTAACAATCAGTTTTATTGTTGCCGGAAATAATAAAGTTTATAATTATTTATCAATCAGTTTTATTGTTGCCAGAAATAATAAAGTATCTAAATATTTATAATTCACTGTAACAATAAGTTTTATTGTTGCCTGAAAGTTAAAAGAAACAAACTAACTTGAATAACGTTACTTCGGAAGACATAAGCGGCGGATCTGGTGGTGGGTGGGCACGTATACCCCAATTTGACCTGGTAGTGAGAAAGTCACTTTCCAGTTTTGAATTCAATGGTCACATTAAGGTGCCTTCCCCATCCCATCCCATCCCACCCCACCCCAAAATTCGAATATGTTCCGTCGTTTACAGTAGGAGATATAATGCTGTAAGAAATCCAAAAGCAGCGCGTGAAACAGGAATAAAAAAAACTCACTTCAGGCAATGTTGTCAGCTGTGCGTATTTCATTTTCGCATGTATAACTGCATCCGTTATGAGTTGTAAAGTATACATTCCAACCAAATAACATTGCAGATTTGAGTACTATAAAAAAACAACAACCAAAATGATAATCATTAAGATAATTTAAATATTTCTGTTAGACGAAACCACATTAACGGAGGATATTATCAGTACTTCAAAACAAACAAACAAAAAAGACTTACTATTTTAATAAACAGATAGAAATCTACTTTTCTAAACTATTATGTCAAATGTAGAGAAGCTTTCGAAGTTCAATTACAATACCTTGATGTCTTAACCAATTATTCATCTCGCTTTTCTGTAGGTACTTTATATCTAGCCCGGCATGGCCAGGTGGTTAGGGCGCTCGACTCGCAATCTGAGGGTCGTGGGTTCGAATCCCCGTCCCACCAAACATGCTCGCCCCTTCAGCCGTGGGGGCGTTATAATGTGACGGTCAATCCCTCTATTCGTTGGTAAAAGAGTAGCCCAAGAGTTGGCGGTGGGTGGTGATGACTAGCTGCCTTCCCTCTAGTCTTGCACTGCTAAATTAGGGACGGGTAGCGCAGATAGCCCTCGTGTAGCTTTGCGCGAAATTCAAAAACAAACAAACAAACTTTATATCTAAATGAGAATAATGCATGTTAATGACATTTAGTTTCAGAGGACATTAAAACAAACACTTTTTTTTTTTGTCTATGAATAGATGTGTTTTGGCTGCGTTTGGCCTTTTGATTACCATAGGGACAGGTCTGGACTTGTTCAGAACTTATGGTGGAAAACAGAAAAAAAATAGCTTCACGACGAAGATCGAAAATAATGGTAAATATCTTTTAAACTGTAGAATTATTAAAATTCTTTTACTGATATATGATTTTTTTGTCCTTTTGATAATATACGATTTACAGTCGCCTGAGAAGTAAAACGTTAGATTCCTTGTAGAGTCTGCTGAGCTTTACGGTGGAAACTGCCACGACCTTATTTATTGTACTTTCCAGTTTTTTGTTGCTTTTTGTTACAGTCGTTTTCCTGACAGGCTCAATTTTTACATTTTAAACTCATTTATGTGTTTCTTGTCAGCAATAATGTTCTGTATCCTTTTTCTTTAAATTTTATTAAAATATTTTACCTCTGTACCTCCCATTGGGTTAACGGTAAGCCTTGAAGGCTTATAACTCCAAAATTCTGGTTTTGATACCCGTTGTAATAACCAAAAAAGTTTACGGAATTAGATTGTTAAGATCCAGGGTTGGATTCCTCTCGGCGGACAGAGTGTAGATAGCCCATCGTGTAACCTTGTACGAAGGAAACAACAACAATTAAAATGTCCCTTCTATGGTGGCTTAGCGGTAAACTTCGGAGCTTACAACCTTACAATTCTAGGTTTGATCACTGTAGCAAACATAGCTCATTTCGTCTATTGCTTAGCTTTTTTTACTGGTACGAAGGAAACAACAACAATGAAAATGTCTCTTCCATGGTGGCTTAGCGGTAAGCTTCGGAGCTTACAACCTTACAATTCTAGGTTTGATCCCTGCAGCGAACATAGCTCATTTCGTCTATTGCTTAGCTTTTTTTACTGGTACGAAGGAAACAACAACAATTAAAATGTCTCTTCTGTGGTGGCTTAGCGGTAAGCTTCGGAGCTTACAACCTTACAATTCTAGGTTTGATCCCTGCAGCGAACATAGCTCATTTCGTCTATTGCTTAGCTTTTTTTACTGGTACGAAGGAAACAACAACAATGAAAATATCTCTTCTGTGGTGGCTTAGCGGTAAGCTTCGGAGCTTACAACCTTACAATTTTAGGTTTGATCTCTGTAGCGAACACAGCTCATTTCGTCTATTGCTTATTTTTTTTTACTGGAAGCTTCTGATAATTGCTTTCTCTCCATTGTACTATTTCGCGCTGTAATGCTATCTTTTTATATTAGAAACTCTCATGGTAACTTATAATTCACTAACTTGCTTATAGTTAACATGTCTTTCCTCTATATATCCCCTCGTTGTATGTTTATTGTAGTGTTTCTGTTCTCCTCATTGTAGCTTTTGTGAACTACAGCATTTTTTAGAATGTTTGAATGTTTCTTCATGAAAATTCTACTTGTTTTAGTAAAAAGCAAGATTGGAACACATAAACTGATAGCTAGCGTTCAAAGTGGACTTTGTACTTTTAAACCTTCACTCGCTAGGTTTCAGTTTCGGTTTGAAATATGATGCGAAACTAAATCTATGATACGAGATAAAAGTAAATAACCTCTCCGGTTGCTATATAATTAATGATAATTTTTCAATAACAGATCTGCCCTTTCTGTAAGAAACTGTAAATGTATTGGCTTAATATTGGCTTAACGTGTGATATCTTAAAACCTAAACACACGTGGTCTAATTTTCAGCACGGAAATTGTGTATATATTTAAACGAAATATATACAACGCAACTTTCTCAGTCAAACTACAAAGAGATTTAATTTTATAATTTCATATATTAATTAATATAATGTTGTCTCCTATATCAGTGTAATGTTTTCTTCAAATTACGTAACCTTGATACCCTTTCTTATTACGATGTCCATATGTTAAATATAAGTATATATATATATGTCCATAAACGATAGTAATTGTTTTTAGGCCAACTGATTCGGTCGCTTGTAGCATTTTCTCTCTACACCAATGGCAAACAGCTATTTGATTTGAGTGAAAAGCCAGGAAACTTGTCAGCTTTAAACGGGATTCGATTCATCACGATAACATGGGTTATATTGTGTCACACATACGCCTGGGCCATCTTGATAACTTTTCGTAAGTACGAGACGAATCATATTTGTTATAGATTATCATACAAACGACTGGGTTATCTTGGTTACGTTAAGTAAGTACAAGAAAACAGTCTCTGTTATTTTGATTCATTACAATTTGTTTTGTTTTTTAATTGACAGAGAAATTACGAAAATCGTAACTGTTAATTTTTCATAATTTCTTATAATTAACGTTTCTATATTTAGTGTAAAAAAAGCCTCATACAGTTTATTACAAACAAATGGTGAAATACTCGAGACTCGCAGTGATCGAGTTTGTCGATAGGATGTTCTATCAATTCCGAGGACAAAACATTTATAGTTGTGGTAATCAAAACTTTCAATGCTTGATCCCGAAACTGACGTAAAACAGAAGAATACCTGTACGCAATCAGTTTTGTTGTTGCCAGAAATAATAAAGATAAATATTTAGAAACTTTATTATTTCTCGCAACAATAAAACTAATTGTTACAGTGATTGATAAATAATTATAAACTTTATTATTTCCGGCAACAATAAAACTGATTGTTACAGTGATTGATAAATATTTAGAAACTTTATTATTTCTCGCAACAATAAAACTAATTGTTACAGTGATTGATAAATATTTAGAAACTTTACTATTTCCAGCAACAATAAAACTGATTGTTACAGTGATTGATAAATATTTAGAAACTTTATTATTTCTGGCAACAATAAAACTGATTGATAAATAATTATAAACTTTTTTATTTCCGGCAACGATAAAACTGATTGTTGTTGATGCTGTTTTTTTTGTTTGTTTTTAATTATGCACAAAGCTACACAAGAGCTATCTGTGCTCTGCCCACCACCGGTATCGAAACCCGGATTCTAGCGTTGTAAGTCCGCAGACATACCGCTGTACCACTGGGGGCAAACTGATTGTTACAGTGATCGATAAATATTTATAAACTTTATTATTTCCGGCAACAATAAAACTAATTGTTACAGTGATTGATAAATATTTATAAACTTTATTATTTCCGGCAACAATAAAACTAATTGTTACAGTGATTGATAAATAATTATAAACTTTATTATTTCCTTATTAAATTATCATTGATAGGTAGGTAGTAAAGTACAAGCTTACACGACAGCAGTCTGACTGGCGTCCAACCGTATTGGTTCTTTCACGTGACAACTAGAAACAGAAGTCTTTGCAAGTATATAGTCGTCCACTAATAATAATAATAAAACATTAATTAATGTCAGATGTTTGTAACACGTAACTTTTAAATAATTGTAAACATATATATATATATATATATATAAATATATATAAGAACCAAAGGCTAAAAATCAAC